ACCACTCTGCAAGCAAAAGCTACCATACCACACCCCACCCTTAACAAACACACGCACATTCACACCTCAGACCTATCAACTGGGTAGTAAGCCAGAACACTATAGGACATCCCAAATAAGCATACTCCTTTTACAAGCTATATGGATACTGGATAACAAGATAAGCAAATTGTGTCACTTCTGTTCAGTCAGTCATTTCCAACGTCAAAAAGAAACTAAAATCTTTTAATGCTCTAGCATATTATCTTCAAACTGAAATCAAATATCAACCATCCCAGGCATGCAACTTTCAAAAGCATCTTGTTCTTGTGTAACATACATGAAGGGAGACCAGGTATTCATGCAAGGTTCTACGTTAAACACACAAAAGACAGTAGTATGACTATGAATCAGCAGAAATCTACAGTCATTTATATTTTGAAGAAAGCTTTCAAAAAAACATTAACAGATTCAAGACAGCACTCCACAAGAAGCATCAAAAAGGACAGCAAGGTCACGCCCTTGGGGGAGAACAACATCATTGAGGAATTAACCGTCCCTGTTTATTCCAAAAACATACCACAAACTGATGCATATCATTCCATGAATGAACATTACCCCTAGGTATTATCAATAATGATTTCGACACCCACTGACCAGTTCCCTTAAAGGTCATCCATCAAACAAAGAAAACGTAACTCACAACAAACTGAGGAAAATGGTTCATTGCCAATATTAACAATTACAGCTTTGAACATCTTTGAGTTCCGATGCTAGAATCTTAACAATAAGACAAAACTCTTCAAACATAAAGTGGGTAGTCCCCCTCACTTCCTAAATCACTGAACAGAACACATAAGAATCCACATAATTAAAACCCAATAAGTTAAAACCCTTCTCGTTTCATTCCATCTAATGGTCAAAAACACACTTTAAAACCTAAGCAAGAAAAAAATGTTTTAAAAATCCAATAATAGGTATAACGCATAACATAAATGAACTCATTACATGAAAGTATAAATTTTAATGGTCCGTATAACAAATACAACAATATATAAATGTAAACATAGTTTCTTTTATGAGGAAGAATAGGCCTCACCGCTGGAGCCTGAGGATCGCTTGCCACGTTTGATCTTCTCGAGCTGCACCTGCGTATCCATAAACATTCTCATCCTCTGCACTTCCAAATCTTTAGCAAATTGCATTCTTTGCTTCTCCAATTCCACCATCTGCCTCAGCTTCTCCCCTTCCACTCTTTCATACACTTGACCAAACCTTTCAATCGCTCTTGCCAAACTCTCCATCCCTTCCCTCTCCTCTCCTTCACCTTCATTTTCCTCTCCCTCGCTTTCCTCTTCCTCGTCACTCTCTACAGCAGCAGCAGCAGCAGCAACGGCGGAATAATTTCTATTGAAATACCCATCGTCGACAGCCGGCCTCTTCTGTGGAAGCGAGACAACCGTAGCCGGCGCCGGAGTCGTCCTGTAGGGCAACGGAAGCGGAAGTGCTACGGGAGGAGACCCGGGCATACCGGGTGACAAACTAGGCGATGGCTTCGGTGATATCTTAGGCGAAGGCGAAACCTTTTTAGCTGAAAAATTATATCCGATAAGAGCATCCAATCGTTCAAAGAAGGACCAGGACGACGTTAAGGTTCCATTAGAAGCCGCAACCCGTGTCTTCTCGATCTTATACTTCTTCTTAATGGTGTCAATCTGTGCGATGCGTCTTTTTAGTATGACCGTGAAGAGCATTAACGGCGTCGGCAACATCCTGCCAGTCCTTCTGGCGGAGGTTCCCACGGTTAAGCTCGACGTATCGGCGACCCCAAGCGTCGATGAGGTAAGGGGAGGTAAGATAGAAGATTAATTTAAATTTAAAGAAATTTCACTCTACTTAAAATTCAATTCATTTTTAAGATAAAAGATTATAACTAATACAACGTAAACATATGATTTAGGATCCACCTATAAAAAAATGGCTGTCCCTTTTTTCCCATATGTATGGGGTAAGGGGGAGGTAAGATAGTAGGCTGCCCCCAACACCAGGTTGAGAGCAGCTTCCGTAGGAGACCTCCAAATTATGAAATGCCCTCCGTGGGACTTGATCCACCTATACTATATAAAATTAATAAGTTATACACTAATTTATAACCATTAGATTTAAATATTTAAAATAAATAATTTTAATTTATAACTCATAAATAAATATTTCTTTAACTCACGATAAAATAATATATTTTAGGATTAAGGTTTTGGATTTAAGATTTGAGGTTTATGATTTATTATCTAGGGTTTTAGATTTGAGTTTATGATTTATGATTATAGTTTAAGGTAGAGTCTTTAGGGTTTGAGATTTTGGGGTTTAGGGTTTGAGTTTTGAAAATTAGAGAAAAATAGATATTATGTTACTGTGAGTTAAAATATATTTAGTTATAACTTATAAATTTTAGTTAAATCTAAGTAATTTATTTATTTATATTTAGTTATAAATTAGTGTAAAACTTTTATTTTTACATTGTGTAAGTTGATCTTGTCACTGGTGGAGCCAGTGTGACACCCCATAAATCTTTAATTTTCTTTATATATAATTAAGAAAATGACACCCATTTTAAAAAAGTTTTGACATCCTATGTATTAAGGGTGTTCATTCGTTTAACGCAGTCAACGGTCGAACCAAATTTTTATTAATTGAATTAATCAATTTTTTAACCGTTAACTGAATCGAATTGAATAAAGTTTGATTAATTTGATAGATGACCGAATTAATCAAATGTTTTAATATATTTTTAATTAGATTAATTTAATATAAATATAAATATTTTTTAGTTGGGTCAAAATTTAATTAGATCTTGATAATTTAATGGATCTAGAGTGATTAAAAGATATTTGAGTCTTAATTCTTAATAGATTTGAGCTTAAAATATGTATTTAATATATGTAATATATAATATATAATATTTAATATTTTTGACTAATTCGATTAATTTAGCTAATTAATTGATTTCAAATAGAATTAATCGTTAAATATTGAAAAACACAATTGTTCCATGACCGAATTAATTTAGTAACCGAACGTTTTAACTGAATTAATTCAGTTCGGTCGATAAATTCGATTAAACTGAAAAATGAACACCCCTAGTATGTATGTATGTATATTTTCTTTTGATTATTGTTTTAATAGCTTTGAAATAGTCTTATATTAGTTTAGCTTTATTTTACATTAATTTATCGAATGTTAATATTATGTATTAATTTATTTGACTTTATTTAGACGTCATAATTTAAAATTATGACACCGTATTATGAAATTCCTAGCTCCGCCCCTAGATCCTGCCTATAATATATATACATGTATATAATAAAATAGAGATTAAATAAAAAATATTATAATAATTGTTTTTAAGTATAAAATAATTATATTATTATTTTTTAATTGAGTTCGGTTTAATATTTTTTATTCAAAAATTAAATTTCAATAAAAATTTAATCATATTGTTTTGAGTAGAATTAAAATTTAATATATCCTGATAAAATATTTAAAATAAAAAGAACGCCTAAATTCCAATCCATAGACCAATAAGGGAAGGGTTGAGTGGCGGTTGCGTCGATGTTTGGGAATGATTTTGATGAACGACATTGATGCGATGCGACGGTCGCCGAGTGATGCGTTACGTGAGTCTCACGGGTACTTGGACTTTTGGTGTTGGCTAGCGCCACTTAGCTTCTCGGCGCCGTTAGCCCTTGTTTATATTCCTACTATTACATACTGTGGTAGAAAACATCAAAGGTTGTGCTTTGTGATGAGAAGCTCACAGATATTTAATTTTAATAAAAGAAGCTAATAAGAAAACAGCAATAGGAGAAGAAAGACTTCAGCGAAAGCAAAGGTGTAGGCAGGGGAAAGTGAAACAAGTGTTTCTGGATGCAACACAATCAATCTTGTAATTGCAGCAAAACACAGAGACTTGCAACAAGACTTCATAACTAAAACACAAGAAATTTGGACCATATGTGTAGGGTCCAAGTTAAATTACAGCCACTTCACTTTTCTTTTTGTATCCTACAAATAAGGGCAAAAGAAACGATTTTTTAAAGCTCCAACTGCTTTTGAGAGTCCAGTGTCCGCTATAAATAACTATATATACTTTCAAGGGATGAGTGTAAATGTCAAATATTATAATATTCTTCATGGAAATATCTGTCAGAACTCTTCCCCAGACTGGTTAGCTGTAAATAAATATCTGCAACAAAGAAAGATGGGGATTTGCTTAAGCTATATGTATGCAAAAATCATGTTGGGGCCGGGGGATAATGCATACAACAATGATCAAAAGTAGGTTTATGTATACAAATGCACCTCATTTCCTTAACCATTCATCATGAATCACTTTCAAAAGACAAATATCAACATTGATAATGTCATTTAACCATACAGAAAACTTATAGACAAATCGTTTGTCATGCTACGTGCACCACAAACAAGAGCAATTTAAATGCTTAATCATATTTAGCAAAATTCGACTCGACTCGAAAAACCTATTTTTTCGACTCGACTCAAATTGAGTTTAAATTGTAATTTTATAAACAACTCAAAAAAAAATTAAGTTCAAATCAAGTTGTAAAATACAACTCGAATAATTCAAAATTTTTAGTAATTATTATATTGATTTTCAAGTTTGAGTCGAAGTTTAAGCCGAGTCCATCAACTTTATATGGTATATGTGAATCAAATATAAAAAATATGAAATATATATATATATTGTATATAGTTATAAAATATTATTTAAATTGAAATCAAATAATGTCATAATATTGTAAATATTTATAATTAAATTCAAATGAGAACTCGAAAAATTGATTCGACTCGACTTAAATTTTCTAAACTCGACTCGAAAAAATTTCAAGTCAACTCCGAGTTATAAAATAGGACTCGTCAACTCGAATAACTTGAAATTTTTTTACTCAACTCGATCGAACGTTCACCTTAATAATTAGCTCTTGAATTCTTCAATATGCTTCTAGGCACATGATTCTGTAGGGAACACAGCCGACCTCTGTTAGCTGACCACTGACCAGCATTGGAGAGACGTCCATTTTATGCTGACAAGCCATTTAGATGAAGTTTATCTGATCATAAGCCTGAAGCTGACCAGTCTGCAAGCAAAAGCTACGCTAAGCCACACCGCACCTTTACTTTACACACATGTATCATAACTATTAACTAAGTTAGTCTGCATAGGACATCCCGAATATATGTACTTTCAGAGGCTAAAGCCATCATAATCGTGCATTTAATAAAATGGGACACCCACTAAACCAACAGAACAAGCAACATTTCGAAGTGACTACATCTTTGGAGGGGCACGGAATGGCAAATTATCACAGTCAACCTCCTACAAATCAGTCGAGGATAGAAAAGTTCTGCAGATATAAGAGGCAAGTTTCCTTTTTGGTAAAACCAGCCTTCATTCCTTTTCCCAGCTATATTGGTAACAAATAAGCAAATTGTCTCATTTCTGTCAAGTCAGTCAGTTCCCACTTCCCATATCAAAAGAAACACATAAAATTTAATGCCCTGGCATATTATCTTCAAACTGAAACCAAACATCAACCGTTGCTAGTATGCATGCATCTTTCAAGTAATGCATGAAGGGACACCAGGTAACATGCAAGGTTCAACATCAAACACACAGTAGACAGTAGTATAACTATGAATCAGCAGAAATATACAGACACGTATATTGAAGAATGCTTTGAATAGAAAATAATGAACAGATTCCAAAACAGCATTTCCACAAAGCATAGAAAAAAAGGACATCAAGGTCATTGAGGAATTCACTGACATTTAAACCAAAAATATAAAAAGTGGGTCTTCTTTACACACACACACACACACACACATATATATATATAAGTAGCAGCATAAAAACAATTGTGAATATTAAGTTTAACTTTAAAAAAATGATATTTTTAAAGTGTGAATTGAACCAATTTTAGCATGGCACCTCCCTAATATGAAGAGCTTTTTGGACATTTTAAAAAGGGTTTTTTATTCAGTTTTCAGTTTTTCTAGTTATGTACTAAATGGCTTGATCACCTATGTGTTCCCTGCATCGTCATCAAACAACAAGCGTAGCCAGAATACATGAAGGGAGACAATGTATTCATGCGATCAAGCACACAAGACAGTGAAGGACTTAACAACAGGTCTAGAAGTATCATAAAAGTCAACTATACAACATAAACTCCAATAGTTGCGTAGATTATAAAAAAATTACATCTCTCTAATAATTTCCTCTCATATCATTATAGAGAAGGCATAAGTGTCACTAAGAATCCTTATTCTGTAATAATTCATAAATCTTACCTAAATAAACTTATCACAAAATAATCTTCAACCACTAGAATTACAATAAAATCCAATAATAATTGTAATTATGCACTACATTAAAAACTATATCAGGTGAGAGATATGCAAGCTGAGTGAAAATAGTGTAATCTTAGATTCTTCTAATTAAATATTGTAATCTTATATTACTATCAAATACTAAATCAAAAAAGTTTATGTAACATTATTAATAATGTATCAGATAATGTTATATTCTAAGAATCATAGGTAAATCAAATGTCTCCTTACTGTTTTGTTGTTCTGATTTCTCATGGCACTTGAGGGTGACTGGATGTTGCGCAAGGAGAAGGCTTGGATTTAAAGTAGCAGATTGTGTCACTTCTGTTCAATCAGTCATTTTCATCATCAAAAGAAACTAAGAACTTTTAATGCTCTGGCATATTATCTTCAAACTGAAATCAAATATCAACCATCCCAGGCATGCAACTTTCAAATGCATCTTGTTCTTGTGTAGCATACATGAAGGGAGACCAGGTATTCATGCAAGGTTCTACGATAAACAAACAAAAGACAGTAGTATAACTATGAATCAGAAGAAATCTACAGTCATTTAACTTTGAAGAAAGCTTTCAACAAAAAAAAAATTAACAGATTCAAGACAGCACTCCACAAGAAGTATCAAAAAGGACAGCAAGGTCCCGCCCTTTAGAGAAGAACAACATCATTGAGGAATTAACCGTCCCTGTTTATTACAAAAACATACCACAAACTGATGCATATCACTCCATGAACGAAAACTACCCCTACATATTATCAATACTGATTTCGATACCCACTGACCAGTTCCCTTAAAGGTCATCCATCAAACAAAGAAAACATAACTCGCAACAAACTGAGGAAAATGGTTCATTGCCAGTATTAACAATTACAGCTTTGAACATCTTTGAGTTCCGATGCTAGAATCTTAACAATAATATAAGACGCTTCAAACATAAAGTGGGTAGTCCCCCTCACTTCCTAAATCACTGAACAGAACGCATAAGAATCGACATAATTAAAACCCAATAAGTTAAAACCCTTCTCATTTCATTCCATCTAATGGTCAAAAACACACTTCAAAACCTAAGCAAGAAAAAAATGTTTTAAAAAAATCCAATAATAGGTAGAACGCATAACATAAATGAACTCATTACATGAAAGTATAAATTTTAATGGTCCATATAACAAATACAAAAATATATAAATATAAACATAATTTCTTTTATGAGGAAGAATAGGCCTCACCGCTGGAACCTGAGGATCATTTGCCACGTTTGATCTTCACGAGCTGCACCTGCGTATCCATAAACATCCTCATCCTCTGCACTTCCAAATCTTTAGCAAATTGCATTCTTTGCTTCTCCAATTCCACCATCTGCCTCAGCTTCTCCCTTTCCACTCTTTCATACACTTGACCAAACCTTTCAATCGCTCTTGCCAAACTCTTCATCCCTTCCCTCTCCTCTCCTTCACCTTCATTTTCCTCTCCCTCGCTTTCCTCTTCCTCGTCACTCTCTACAGCAGCAGCAGCAGCAGCAACGGCGGAATAATTTCTATTCAAATACCCATCGTCGACAGCCGGCCTCTTCTGTGGAAGCGAGACAACCGTAGCCGGCGCCGGAGTCGTCCTGTAGGGCAACGGAAGCGGAAGAGCTACGGGAGGAGACCAAGGCATCCCGGGTGAAAAACTCGGCGAAGGCTTCGGTGATATCTTAGGCGAAGGCGAAACCTTTTTAGCTGAAAAACTAGATCCGATAAGAGCATCCAATCGTTCAAAAAAGAGCCATGACGACTTTAGGGTTCCATTAGAAGCCGCAATCCGTGTCTTCTCGATCTTATACTTCTTCTTAATGGTGTCAATCCGGTTCTTACACTGGACATCGGTGCGATGCGTCTTCTTAGTATGGCCGTGAAGAGAATTAACAGCGTCGGCAACATCCTGCCAGTCCTTCTGACGGAGGTTCCCACGGTTAAGCTCGACGTAACGGCGACCCCAAGCGTCGATGAGGGTAGACGAAGCTTCCTCCGACCAACAATCCTCACGGACGGGTAACGTACTTGAGCTGGGAGTGGTTGAAGGAGGGGTGATCATAGCTAACGGTGTGACGGAATCGGTGATATCGGCCATCGAGAAGATGAACGAATGAGGGTTGGGCTTCGATTAGAAGGGGGTGTGGGGGAAATTAGGGTTAATGATTTTAAAAAAGCGGTTCGGCGATGATTCGGCCGACACGTGAGAGTAGGGAAAGGGAAGAAAGAGAGGTGGGGTGACTGGTCACTGGTTGGCTCGTCATCGGATTAGGCTCGGCAACGACTAGTGTACTTGGCATTTTTTTTTTTTACGTTTTCTTTTTTTCGCTGTTGGCCTGATTAACGTCCCACTACTACTATTATTATAATTTCAAATTATATATTTAAATAATTATTTTGATTATTAAATTTTTTTCAATTATTTTGATGCCATGTAATATTATAAATATAATACAGTTATTCGATTTATTATAACAGTAATATTGAGTAGGATACAAAATTTAATAATTTAAATAAATTTACGATAGATTAAATGAACAATTATTTTATATAAAGTTTTCGTATTACAACTAATATTTTCTTCAAATATTAATGAAATAATCATTTATATAATATTTTACTGATGAGGCGTAGGAGTTTGACAATTGTCCGGTAACTATCGCTTACCTCATCCAAATACTTGAACACCCAAATAATATCATTTTGATCGTCGGTCAATCCAATGATGCCCGTTTACAAAAACCCGATTCAACGGCTATTCCCTTCGGTTCTCCCCCTTTTACGAGTCCCGTTTAGACGTAGCCACCGCTCAAAACTTCGGCATATAAGGTAACGGCCATGTCCAAGTTGATAGAAATCCAACAGGGACCTAGCAATGACACTGGAGAAGAGAAAGAGAACCAAACAGAAAGAATAGAGCACGGATTTACTGGAAAATAACAAGCTGCAACATAATTCTGAGACTTACAAAATATTCACATGGATCATGTATAGTAGACAGACCCACTATATATAACACCTAGCCCAACTGTACAGGATTATGTTATAACAAATTAACCAAAACGGTTACAAATGATCAGCTACAAACAGTTATATTATAATACACTAATATTCTCTGGGCTTTCTAATGACCTGAAATGCCACTTCAATATTTTCCTGACAACTCAAATATGCTTTTTATGACTGCAAGCATTGATTTCTGTTCATGACTTCACACCAAGGCGAGAGCGCATGTCACTGAATATTGCAGGTGGCAATGGCTTGGTGAGTATATCAGCCACCTGCTCTGCAAAAGGCACAAAATTGACACTCAATTGATCAGCCAGAACTTTCTCCCTACAAAATGAACATCGATTTCTACATGCTTTATACGAGCATGGTGTGTTGGATTTGCTGCCATAGAAATTGTAAAGGTGTTATCACACCACACAACTGGCTTTCCAGCTACTCTAACCCCAATTTCATCAAGTAGATGTTCAATCCAAATCAATTCAGAGACAGAATTAGCAAGGCTTCTATATTCCGCTTCTGATGTAGACCTAGACACAACACTTTGCTTCTTAGAGCACCATGCAATTGGATTTCCCCCAAGATATACACAGTAACCTGTTGTGGATCGTCTATCTTCCTCCGAGGTTGCCCAGTCTGTATCAATGTAACAGACTAGACTAAAATTTCCAGCTTGAGTGAAAAACAGACCATGCTCAAGTGTGCCACTGAGATACCTCAATATGCGCTTTACTGCTCTCCAATGTGTATCACATGGGCTATTCATGTACTGACTAACCTTGTTAACTGCATAGGCTATGTCAGGTCTTGTTAAACACGCATATTGCAAGCCTCCCGCAATGTTATGATAGAGATGAGCATCTCCAAATAATTGTCCATCATTTCCCTCAAGCTTGAGCGTAAGAACCATAGGAGTAGGTGTAGGTGCTAACTCATCTAGGTTTGACCTTTTCAACAAATCAGAAATATACTTCTTCTGAAGTATGCTCAACTTGCATTCCAAGAAAAAAGCTCTAGCTGACCCAAATCTTTGAGTGAGAACTCTTTATTGATTGCTTGCACTATGGCATCCACTTCTATTTCCTGACTTTCTGTGATGAATATATCAACATATACCATTAAGATCATTTGAGAATATGCTGAATTCCTAATAAATAGAGAGGAGTCAGCTTTTGAAACAGTGAAACCAAGGCTCTCAACCAAAAACTTCCTCAAGGTCTCAAACCAAGACCTAGGAGCTTGCCTAAGCCCATAAAGTGCCTTTCTTAAACAACACACTAACTCCTTTCCATCTTCACTCTTCTGCTCAAATCCTGGAAGATGTCTCGTATAAATTTCCTCAGTCAATTTTCCATTGAGGAATGCATTGTTAATGTCAATCTCTCTAAGTGGCCAATTTTTCATAACAGCAACAGCCAGAACAGTCCTTATTGTATTAGCTCGAACAACTAGACTGAATGTCTCAGAAAAATCTCTTCCTACCATTTGTGAATAGCCCTTGGCAACTAGACGGGCCTTCAACCTATCAACTGACCCATCAGGCTTCTTCTTCACTTTAAAAAGTCACTTGCAACCCACTGCTTTACGTGTTGGTGGCAAAGGCTTCAGCTCCCAAGTTCCATTCTTAATTAGAGCAGTATACTCATCATGAACTGCTTTGCACTAGTCAGGGTGCTGCAATGCTTCATGGACACTAGCTGGCTCTTAAGGGCTTGTCTCAGCAAGTAACACTTTAGGCTTAAAGATGCCAGCCTTTCTATGGGTGACCATTGAATGAACATTATGAATTATTCGTGGTGGTGGTGGTGGTAGTGATGATGATGGTGATAATGGAAGTGATGGAGTTTCATCATGTGATGAAGAAGTGGATGGATGTGATGTAGCAGTCATGAAGGGATGAGATGAGGATGAGATGGAAGGTTGCAATGGAGAGATATCATGTGGTGATGAAGCGAATGGATATGATGATGTCGATGGTAATAGAGATGGTAGATTTGAAGGATGAGATGATAATATAGGAGATTGCAGTTCTATCCCTTGTTGTGGTAATGTGGAAGATGGCAGAACTGTCTTGTGACTATGTGTGTTAGTAGAAGAAAGAAATGAAGGAAAGAAAAAATTGTTTTGAGAACTAATGTTTTTAGCACTGGACTGTTTTTGATCTGTTCTAGTAGTGTTGTATACCTTTGGCAAAGTGGAAGTGCTAGAATGGTTTAGGAGCTGTTGATAAGGAAACTCATTTTCTTCAAAACGAATATGTCTTGACACATAGACTCGACCACTAGAATCTAAGCATTTGTATCCCTTGTGAGCAGGGGAGTATCCCAAAAATACACAGGCAGAGGATCTAAATTGAAGTTTATGTTGATTGTAAGGTCTTAAAAATGGGTAACACACACAACCAAAAACCCTCAGAAAATTATAATCTGGTGTTTTATGAAAAATCTTTTCATATGGTGAAATGCCAGCCAATGCCCGTGTAGGTAACCGATTAACAAGAAATACTGCACTAGAGAAAGCATCATTCCAGAAACTTAAAGGCATTGAAGCTTGAGCTAACATAGAAAGACCTACCTCAACTATTTGTCGATGCTTTCTTTCTACCAAGCCATTCTGTTCTGAAGTGTGAGGGCATGATAGCCTGTGCACAATACCTTGCTCCTTCATGTAGGCTTGAAGAGCACCAAACTCACCCCCTCCATCTGATTGGAACACTTTGAGCTTGACACCAAACTGCCTTTCTACTTGTCTATGAAACTGAGGAAAAACAGACTTGGCCTCACTTTTTTTAAAAAAATCCAAGTAAACCTACTATGAGCATCAGTGAAAGCAACATAGTACTATAGTACCTAAACCCATTAGAGTACACATGAGCAGGGCCCCATATATCATATACAACAAGCTCTAAGGGTTGTGTATAATAAGTGTGTGAATCAACAAATGGAAATGTATGTGACTTAGCAAGTTGACAAGCTTTACACAACATTTGTTCTTTATTAGCATCAAAGGGAATTACATTGTAGTGTTTTAGAGCAGAAAGTAAAACCTCTTTAGAGGGGTGGCCAAGCCTTTTGTGCCATATATCCATAGACACTCTAGTATTAACAATATGACAGCTTATTGAAGATAAAAATTATGAGCAGAATCACTAATACAAGTAAAATTAATACGAGCATAATTATCAATTCAAGCAGAATTAATACAAGCAGAATTATTACAGGCAGAATTAATACGAGCAGAATTATTACAAGCAGAATTAATACGAGCAGAATTATTACAAGCAGAATTAATACGAGCAGAATTAGTAATACAAGCAAAATCATTAACATGAGCAGAATTATTAATAGACACTTGAGCAGAATTATTACAAGCAGAATTAATACGAGCAGAATTAGTAATACAAGAAGAATCATTAACATGAGCAGAATTATTAATAGGCAGACAAGTGTCATTTCCAACAGACTTATTCATAGCAAGATTGAATTTATACAATCCTCCATCTTCACACCCTTTTAACAGAATTCTCCGAGTGTGCAGGTCTCGAACTTGGCAGAAATTAGGATAAAATTCAAGTAGAACCTGATTGTCATGAGTGAATTTGGAAACAAATAACAAATTTTTAGTGATATTAAGAACATGCAACAATTTATTTAAATGAAATCTATTGGAATTAGCACAAAAGAAATAGTGACTAGTGCTCTGTATTGATAGAGAATTAACATTACCAATAATCACACTACCTGTTCCAGGGTGAGTGTCTTTAAACTGTAAATTGTTAAGGTCTTTAGTTATATGATGTGTTCCTCCAGAATCTGGATACCAAGCATTATCATCTACTGTTTCAGGTGTAGCTATGTAAGCTTGAGATGGGACATGAGATTGAGTAGAAGCTGTGGATTGTGATGGATGCCTAGAAGAAAATGAGTGCATATTGTAAGGAGGTGGGCAAACCTGATGGTGAAAATTAAAGGGAAAAACCTGTGGATGAAAAACAAAACCTTGAGGGGCTGTTATCGAGGGTGAAGAGCCATAATACATCGAGTTATAGGGGAAATTATAAGGAGTGAAGTTGTCATTGCTTGAATTATATGAGTTGACATTGGCTTGAACATTAGAATAGCCTCTATTATTGCTATTTTGTGGAGGTCGAGATGACTCATTCTTGTAGCTCATGTCAAACCTATAGTAGTATTTTTCAACAAGGTGTCCCATTCTGCCACAAAGTTGACATTGTGGTCTAGAGGATGAAAAACGCCCTCGACCTCTAGCCCTATTACTGATATTATTATTGAAATTTTGACCATCATTATCAAGAAATTCACTCTTGTTTTGGTACTCAGACTGTGACTTATTACTAGAGACCACTTGATCATTTGTAGCTTGAGTAGTAACATGAGCACAAGCTGTGACATGATTAAAGGACTGTGACTGTCTAGTGTCAGCATCTAAGAGTATGGTGCTCACATACCTTAAATCTGGAGGAGTGGGAGTAGCAGTTATAATAATGATAATCGGTTCAAACTCAGGTGGTAACCCATTCAGAATAGCAGTGATATGTTCATGTTCTGATATTATCTCTCCACAGCTAGCTAGATTGTCACAAACAGACTTGATTTTCATCAAGTAGTCTCTCATAGTTAACTCTCATTTCCTCTGAGAATGAAGCATTCTCTTATAAGCTATGTTGCACGGGGACGGCAGAGGAAGGACGTTTCAAGTACCCGAAACATCCCTGGTACGGGGACGGTATGGGGACGGTCGGGGTATGTACCGGGGACGTGCCACGGTGGTAGGGCACGGCCGAACGATACGGGGGACGTTTTGGTGCTCGCTGGGGACGTTTCGAGGACGGCATGTGACTAGCACTCGCTTTTTTCTTGAAGTGTCGCCATCTTCGTCATCACCGATGCCTCCATTCTCTTCTCTTTCACTCCTTTTTCTGCTCACACTCGAGATTGTGTTGTTCGGAGATGAAACCCCGGCTTCTTCTTCACCGTCGACTGTTGACGGGAACCGGTTCACGTCGATTCCTCTAAGAAACGTTCTAGCCTCGGTGGTCGGGAAATATCCAGAGTTAGGATCTGTATGCAAGCACACCATACTTTTTTCAGATAAAAAGTAGCAGATATAGAGGCTTTTGCATGGGAAAACTGTTAGGCTAAAGCATACCTGGAGGAGGAGAGACGACATCGTTCCATGAGGGTTTTTGAAGGGGGACACCAGAATGAGAAGAACAAGTATTAGCAGAAGAATGGGTTAGATTTAGGTGATGACTATAAGGGAAACTCAAACTCAGACTCAAACCCAGATCTTCTTTCCTCATCATCCTTAATATTTTCTCTCGAGCCAAACACGACTTTTAATTTTTGTGGTGTGAACAAAGACGAGAGAGAGAGAGTGTTTGGGGTTGGGGAGTTTATGGGAGTGGTGGATTGAGGATTATATAATAATAAATGATAATAATAAAGTAATGATAATTAATGAAAAAAATGGAAGTTCAATGGTGAGTTGTTCTGATGGGAGAGGCCAATTATCTCAATCATGGACGTGACCTCTTCTTTATTTTTTCCCGAATGAGGATGTAGTTGTAACAAGTTGAACATGAAATGTGGTTTGAATTTTGAGATTTGACATTTTAATATTGTGATTTGTTTATGGATTTTATTGTTCTAAATTTAATATTGTGGTTTAAGTCTTGATATTTGACTTTATTTATAATTTTTTACATCTATTTATAATTTTAAAATTATTTTATATGTCGTACCCTTACTGTCCCCGTACCCTGTAATTTTATAAATTACCGTTTTCCGTCCCCATCCCTGTCCCCGTATCCGTCCCCGTATCCGTATCGGTGCAACATAGCCTATAAGACATTAACCTAGAAGTAGTCTTGCCACTGTATAATCTATGCAGTGTACTCCAGATTTCAGCTATAGTATTAAGACCTATAAGATGAGGCAAAACTTCCTCACTAACAGTATAAAGCAACCATGAGGCAAGAGCTCCATCTTGCTCCTCATACAGCTCATATTCAGGGTTTAAACTAACTATTCCCTCAGAAGTAACATACTGTGCAGGCCAAGAAACATTTGAGTCTATATACTTCTGAAGTCTATGTGTTTTAATAGTGAGGAAAATCTGTTGATGCCAAATCAGGTAATTATGATCATCTAGAGTAACATTAATCTTTTTAGTAGAGAATAACCTATTAGAGGTAGCAACAGCAGAACTACCAGCAACATTTAAACTATTTTCATCCACAGTATTTTCCATACAGAACGCAAAACAGAAAGAGAACAAATCGCAGGCTATCAACCAGAGATCAGGAAGAAATTAGAACCAGACAACTAAAACAACAAGAAACAAAAAACGATCTCACCAGAGTCAAAAAATCCACCGCAGAGCAAGGAAAAATCAATAATGCGAGCAGAGACAACACAAAAAACAGCCGGAGAACACATCAAGGATGAAAACCGATCTTATCAAGCGTCTGAAGGAAAAACAACAGTCAGATTTGCCTCAATTTGAACTATTAGGGAAAGCGAAAAAGCAGCAACAGAATTGATGCAGAACGGAAGTGAAAAATGCCGAAGGGCATAGGCAAATCAAAATCCAGAATTGCGAATTCAATTGAAACTAGAAATGGAACAATCTCACCAGAATCGAAGAGCAGAACCAAAAAAGGAGAACAACAGGGAAAGACGTGATGAATCAAAAAACCAAAACAACAAGCAATCTCGGAGAGAAACCGACGAGAAAGCAGGAGAATCATGCAGAACGGAACAGAAAAAAGGCCGCATGATTTCAGGCGAATGATACCATGATAGAAATCCAACAGAGACCTAGCAATGACACTGGAGAAGAGAAACAGAACCAAACAGAAAGAATAGAGCACGGCTTTTCTGGAAAATAACAAGCTGCAACAGAATTCTGAAACTTACAAAATATTCACATGGATCATGTATAGTGGACAGGCCCACTATATATAACACCTAGCCCAACTAACTAGCCCAACTGTAAAATTAACCAAAAACGGTTACAAATGATCAGCTACAAACAATTATATTATAATACACTAATACAAGTCATCAATCTCGGCCCGACCGGCCCCGTCATCAACGAGCTCATTGCCTTCGACACCGCCGATGATGTATAAGACGTCGCCGTCATAGCCGATGGATCTATCAAGGTCTACGACGCCGCTCTCCCTCCTCAGTCCAACCCCGTCCGCTCCATGAAATAACACGCCCGTGAAGTCCAGGTTCTGGAGCGTTTGTGCATCCACTCCCTCTTGTTCGTGCTATTTTCTTGCTCAGCTCTCGTGGTTGGTTTCTGGAGTTTTGCTGGACGTCCCATGAAAGGAATGTGATAGTTGATGGAATGTCTAAGCTCGATCTCTCCCGTGATTACATGATCCGCACGTTTGATTTGCCGCCAATCTCCATTATACCTCTTGTTGATAGGGATATGTAAAGCCCTCTTTGATTAATTAGGCTTTTGCCTCTCTTATAGTAAAAATAAGTCACTAAAACAGTTAATCTTCACTTATTATATTGAGAAAAATGTGACAAGTTCGTTCGAGTGATAATTTGATCAATCTATTTATTAAATTATCGCTAACTTTTAACATTTAAAAAGCCAGTGAACCCCTTTATGATGTAAGTGAAATCATCGTCAGAAAGAGTTGATACGTATTATAACCCCATAATAATTCTACTAATAATATTAAAGAAAACAGATTTATTTAAAAATAGATGAAATTTAAGTTTTAATATTCAAGACTCAATTCATATTTTTTTAAGTTTGTATTCTAATAATATAAATATGTATAAACAATACACATGGCCAACGACTGTTAAAGTCAGGCGGCAAAAAGGACAATTTGCAACTTGCATTTTCACATTCACATGCATTTTGCAGCGTACATTGATTCCACCGCCGCCTTCAACTTGCAATCAAACCTCTTATATATATATATATATAATTACTACAACTTACCAACAATTGATCAGATTTTCCTAGTTTTTGAACCTATCAATAAATCAATCCTCTTTATCTCTTATCAACCGACGAACTTCGACTAGGCCACTGAACGGCAGAAGCAATGGAAAACCAGCACGACACCCACGGTGCCTTGTCACAGAACCAATGTGGTTCAACCCTCCTCTAGTATGGTCCATCCTCCGCCGCTTCGATAACCCTCAAGCCTACAAGCAGTTCGTCAAGAGCTGCACTTTGAGCGCCGGAGACGGTGGGATCGGGAGCGTACGACAAGTGATGGTCGTTCCGGGTATGCCGGCTGCAACCAGCATGGAGAGGCTAGATCGACTCGACGATGACACGCATGTTATGATGGTTAGCATTATTGGTGGCGACCATAAGCATGTTAATTACCATTCCACCACTAGTTTGCACGAAAGTATAACAGGGACATAATCAAAATTAAATATTATTAGAGGTTGAAATATTAGATTATTTAAAAAAAATATAAAGATTTATTTGACATTTAAACTCAAAATTTAGCACGAACCAAATGACTTTTGTGATTAAGAGATTTTTGTTATCCTTGAGGCTACGAATTCAAACACATATGTAGGGGTATGAACACTCATTGTCAAATAGTTGAAAGTCTTTGTACATATATTATTTTATATTCGCCCTAAATTAAAAAAATCCTCAAAACTCAAAATACAACTTCTAATTTATCTAATATCTAAATTTACAATGACTTAAATTGTAATTAAACCAAAAATTTGATAACACAAACTTACCATTTTTAAGTTCGACCCCTACTTGATATTTAATAAATTTTTATATTTTTCAAATTAAATATTTACTTTTTTACATGAACCAAAATACTATTAAACTAAAATTATATAGAATATATAAAGTTTAACAAGGGACAAGACCCCTTAGCCCTAAGGGAGCTCGATCCCTGAGTAAAAGTGAAGAAGGAAACGGAGGCGGGAAAACGGTGGTGATAGAGTCGTACGTGGTGGATGTCCCGGCTGGGAATAGCAAGGAAGATACACGATCTTTTGCTGATATGATCATTGGGTGCAACCCTAGGTCATTAGATAGGGTAACGGAGAAGTTGTTTGTAAATGTAGGGTTATTAAATTGATACTTATGCCATAATAAATAAAATTATGTATGCTTCACGAGATCGATCCAATTCTTTAGATTATCGGCTGCCACGAGCGCATGGAGAGGCTAGACCGACTCGACGATGACCTGCATGCTATCCTGGTTAGCATTACCGACGGTGACCATAAGCTGGTTAGTTACCATTCCATTACTGTGGTGATGAAGTCCTACATGAAAGATGTCACGACAAGATGATTACAATGTAACATTTATTTAATTTTTTTAATTCATTGATAATTTATATAATATTTTATAAACTTAATTATTCAGATACATAAATTTTAAAAAGATAATAATTCGTATTGTTGATATTTACATGTTTTTTTTAAGTAAGGGCCTATACTGCTTCAGTCTATTACATGAAAAGATGAATCTACTAATGTTTGGGCTTGTCTCAATCGAGGCCGAAACGCGGCGGAGCAGTGCAGAAAAACATCCGTAGTCCTCACCATGTGGGGTGGGCGGCGAGGTATGGGCTCTACATTCCTCGGCGTGTCACTTGGGGCGTTGTGTGTTGGCTGCGTACCAGTTCTCAATTATTCTCCCCCACAGCAATGCCTTTTTCTTTTGGTAAAAGAAATCCTCATGGGGGGCCATGGTATGATTTTCATGTTGCTTGGGAAATTATTGTTGGTTACACTATCTTTCTTTTCTCTTTAAAGTTTAACCAGCAAATTCAATCATAATTTCCCTGACATGAAAATTTTAGATCAATCATGCTGAAATTATTTTTAAAATAATGATTTTTATCATGTTATAGTAAATATATTTCATTAATCATTGTTAACATTTTATTCTATTTGTCAGACCGTAGGTCTCTATTTTACTATTTATTTTAAAAAAAATTCTTCCTAATCATCTCGTATATATCCAATTAAAAAGAATTTGAATCACACAATTCCAACACTTGATCGTGTGTTATAAGCAAACAGAGGAACTTGTACCAGAAAACATGCTTGCTCTTTGATCCGGCCCATGGAATATCAAATTGTCTCTCATAATTCATAAAATGGTAGCATTAAATTCTCTGAACATCACATATAGACCAGCAGAAACAGTCAAGATTGGCAGACAGCAGATCCTAAGCAAGGCATGTGTGCTTGAGCCGCTGATCATGGAAAAGTACAGAATATATTGAGACAGAGTTAGGCTTTGTTTAATTCTTAATTAATAACTTAATGATCACAAACAACTTTACAAGGGATTCTAGTCTGCCTACTATCTACTTTATCAAACTTTAGGTGATTCAAAATCTTAAATGTCGAAAGGTTTTAGAAAATAAATATTGAAGTAATTAATTAAAATCAAATTAAAAACGATTTTTATATAAAAAATCGAAATCGAATTGAATATGTCTAAATCAAAATAATAATAAAAAAAAATTAAATTACAACACATAATTTAGTTCAAATTAACTTTTTTATTTTTTTCGATCTTGTTGTTCAATCCTATACGATTAATTGAAAGATTTGAAAATTTACAAATTTGATTATGAGAGATGATATCATTTAAATCAATTTAAAAATTATTCATATGATAAATAAAACGCTTAATTTAATAAAAATATAATTTCATTTCATTTTCTGTGCGTTAGGAAACCAAAAGAAGATTGTAATTAATTTCTTTAATTTAATTACATTTTAGATATCCAAATAAAGAAATATAATATTTTTTTTATTTAAGTATTGAATTAATCCAATTGGAGTATTAAAAAGGACCGATGGCTTAACAAGCATCACATTTCGACCATCCCCCAACTGTATGACTCGTGACCACACCCCCCCTCAAATTATGACCGAAGTGTCGTCTTCTTCCTTCAAAAATCTTTAAAAAACAACAAATTTCAGACATATCAATGAGTCTTGGAACTGAAACAGCCATGGGTTCATCCCTGTAAACACGAGACTCATAGAAAAAAGAAAGCTTTAGAAACAAGAGAAAATCCCCAGTAGTACTACTTTTCTTTACCCTTACTCATTCCCTGAGCCCTTGTTGCCACCATTTTAGGACACCCAAAACCTCAAAGCCATCAAACAAATGAAGCTCACTGCTGCAGGTACATCTTTCCTTTCATTTGTTTCAGATGATGTTTATGTTGTTCAGTAGGTTGAAAGCGATACTGGGTTTTTGTCCATACAGATTCTTGTTTCTTTTCGTGGTGTTAGTTTACAGATGAAGTTTCTTTATCCTTGTTTGTAATATTTATGACAGTTTTAAGGTTTTTACCAGGTTCTTGATCAGGTTTGTTGTGTTTTCTTTTACTAGGATTTACTTTTTTTCTTGGTGGATGCCAATAATCAAGTATGGCAGAGTTGATAAGATTCAGATCATATAATCAATGCGGTTTTTCTTTTCATTTCACCTCTATCTTATATATTTACAGTTCTTTGTGACAATGGGCCAAAACACAAATCTTTGCCTGGTTGTTGGGAGATGCAAAACATTTAATTATGTCTTTATTTCTAGCTTTGATTCAGTTTCTGCTGGTTGATTTAGGGTTATATGTATATATGGAGATATATTGCAGTGAGTCTAGGTTCTTCAAATGACCAATTTTAGCATATTCTCAGGTATTTGCTATGCCATGTTTTGAGTTTCTGAGTTATACTTGGGAACAAAGCTGTTGAATTTCTTGATTATGAAACGCAATGGAGGAGAGGAAATTGAATTTTGATGCTCCGCTTTTATCTGTGAGGCGGTTTTCGGGGACATCTTCTGCTCGAGATCGAAATAAGCAGAAGAAGGTTGAGAATCCTCCTTCGACGGCACGATTTGCTCTCCCCTGGTATTGCTCGGATGCATGTTCGGATCAGGTTACGGAGCCTGTTGCGGTTCCTTTCGTATGGGAGAAGATCCCCGGAAAAGCAAAAGGTGGCGCGCAGCATGAGTTTGAGCCAGATAAGGAAGCTTTGTGTACTCCAAGGCTTCCGCCGGGTTGGATTTCAAAGGTCGTGAAGTGTCCTGTGGAGAAAGAGTGTGTAAATCAGGCTGTGATCAGGCCCCAAACTGAAAAGAATGCTGTGAATGATAAATTGAGTAGATTAGACTGTTTGAATGAGGGAATGAATGAGAAATGCGTCTCGGAATCTGATAAGGATGATGATGTTTATTCAGATGCCCTCGATACCTTGTCCCCAACCGATTCGTTCTCCATGAATTGTACTATAAGTGGTCTGAGTGGATCGGATGGACCAGTTGCAAAACCATCAGGAACGTTCTCTACAGATCCACAAACTCAGGATTTCATGCTGCGGCGCTTTTTACCTGCAGCCATGGCAATGACACTCGAGACACCGAAGTATGCTTCGAGGAAACAATATGTGGCACCAGAACAACCTAGAGAGGCTAAGAAAGAGCTTGTTGGGGATAGGAAATCTCCTGTGAATCAATATGAGTCGGCTATTGTTCCATATTATAACAGGGATGTAGATGAAGAAGAATCAGAAGACGAATACGATGAGGACTATCAGGATTCTGGCAATTTATCAAGAAAAGCTTGTGGCTTGTTGCCTCGGTTATGCTTCAAGAGCTGTCTGGGTCTCTTAAATCCTGATCCTGTTCCAGGACTAAAACTTAGAACCCACTCTTCAATGCCTTCTACTCGTGAAACTGTGAAACCACGGAAAGCTGCTTACTCGAAGTCTCGAACACAAATTGTTGAGAAGGTTAGTATGGATCTTTTCTGTTTCCTTCAAATCACCATTCGGCGATCTATCCGTAACTGTTAGATACGGATATTTTGTATCTTTGCAGAATGCTTTGGATGCTGTTCGTGAGAACAAATCAGATCGAGGAGTTCAATCCTCCGAGCTGTCAGGGAACAAATCAGATGGTGCAGTTCAACCACCGAGGCTCTCGAAGGCAAAATCAGATAGGGGAGTTATATTTTCCGGGCCCCTGGTGAACATATCAGAAAGTGCATTTCAATCACCAAGGCTCTTGAAGGACAAACCAGATAGGGGAGTTCAATCCCCAAGGCTCCTAGTGAGCAAATCAGATAGTGCATGTCGATCACCGAGGCTCTCGAAGGACAAACCTGATACAGAATTTCAACCTTCTAGGCTTCCCGAGATCGGGAAAGAGCTGATATGTGTATCAAATCAGTTTAGCAGCTCAAATGACGAGCAGATTGCGAATAGGTCGCCTCTCAAGAGGCTTCCAAGTAGTGGTCGCATTTGTCCATATCGTAGAGAGAGGCCTCAATCACCCTTCCACGGAGGAGGGTTCCTTGGCTTGCCTAAAGAAGCTGAGAAATACAAAGTGAATATGATGGTTAAGTACACCCGAAGCAATAACAACTCGCAGGAATTAATACCGTACCGGAGCACTGGACAAGGGTCGGGTTCTCCTAGCCCTGCAGTTGTGAAAACATTGTATGTAGATACCAAAGTGTTGGAAGAACCTGTTGCTGTGAAACCTTCCCTTGAAGACATAAAAGGCCTCGATGGTTTGGATGGAAAAGGCGTATCGGAATATGAAATCACAGGGTTGGTGAACTCTAGTCGATCTTCTTTCTCCGGCAAACCTGATCCTGGACAGAACGGTGGACTGGATCATGTATTTAAGTCCTTGGAGCGTTTAAAAGTTAGAGCTGATGGAAATCTGAGCCATACCGATGATGATGATTCGAAAGCAGCTGATGAAGCTAGTGCCGGTTCTGATTACTCTCCTCTTCCACCTCGTTTGCCGAAAACACCATCCGAGTCTTGGCTTTGGCGTGCCCTGCCTTCGAAAAAATCATCTTCGCAGTCTTACAATGGCACTCGTTTTAAACCAAAAAAGCAGGAACCAAAGACACCTGCTACTGGTGCCAAATGGGAAACAATTGTCAAAACATCTTACTTGCATCATGATCATGTTCGCTATTCCGAGGTAGTCTTATCATTCTTTTTAAACAATGAGATTGTCTTCTCTAATGAGAACTTTTATCTTTGTAAAATTCTAACATTTGTATCCATTACAGGAACTAGTAACTCCCTTTTCTCACCATTCCAAAACTTAAAAAAGGAAAAACACCGAGGGCTTCATCGAATTCCTTGTGCTCACTGCCTTTGGTTCAGCAGTTTCAGTTTCGACATGGTCAGAGCTGATTAAAGATTATGTTGCAGCCTACAATTTTTCTCCTTCCACTTGCCTTCGATATGGGACTGGATTTGTTAGCTCTCGTTATTGTACAAGCTTGTAAGTTGTTCATTTCTTTTTCCCTATACATCGACAATAACTGCAGGCGGTGGCCGCTGTTTACATCAAAGTCCAATTGGAATCTTGTAATGACTACAAATATTTTTTTTCCAACTTTTGTAATTGGTTGTGGTGCTTCTCTTGCACAGGAATCCAATAGATTGTTGTGAAAATATATTGGATATAAAACGCTCCTTTGATATACAAGTAAACTTGGACAGAAATTGTTCAAATATAGTAACATCATGCATGTGTCTCCGTCACTGTGTGATCTGAGGTTCGGGACGAAACATCCCGAGCTCTCGCGCATACAGCTGCCTCCATGGTCACACCAAAAGGCGCTACCATCGGTACTCACATGTGAACAGTGACACATGAATGAACTTGACTGCCAATCTTCAAGCTGAATCACTAGTTTTATTGCATGAATGATATGGGCGAAAATATCAACTTGTAAACCACAACTCACACACCTTCCTATTTCCTTTGGGCTCTAGGACAAGTACTTAGAAAGATCTCACTTCCACTTCTTCCTGTGGGTTTGGCTTTACTATGTAAGATCCTTGGTAAAGTACTCGACCTCATTCGGCCTTGTCTGCAACATGCTAAGAAAGCGAAAGCTAAGTGTTATTTCCTGCGTGTCTTTATAATGGCTACTCTTTCCGTCATCGAACAATCTGATTATCCGGCTTAGACTTAACTGCAGATCAGGCAACCATTCTCTGTCCTTGACCAGTTTATCTCGGTTCAACTGTGTTTCGAATAAAACAAATAGAAACACACATTAGTTTCTGTTAATTATATGTACAATCAAAGTTCAGCAAGAGATTATCACCTCTGTTCTACAGTTGCTGAATTTGCTCATGGAATCATGCTTGTTTCCAAGGTTGTCTTCATATGGCCTAGTGGAGTAGCATCTCTTGTTCAATAAATCTGCCTGCAAATGCTCTAATGGGTCCAATTTTTCCATGGATTTGGTTTGGATTGCAACACAAGTCATTTGCTTGTGATAATTGCTGAACTTCACCTTGTCCAGCCTCATTGAGCTTCTTACTTCTATACATCTGAAACAAGAACATCGATATAACAAAGTAAAATAGTGGATTAAAAAACTTGAAAATTACTGCAAGGAGAGGTAATTATTGAAGATCAAAATGGTTTCTTTTTGTTACCTTTGAACCTGTAAATGACTCTTTACATGTGCAAGCTAAGTCTCCTCGCATTCATCAATTGAAGAACCAACTTTGGAGTTGCTTCTGCAACAAGTTATTAAACACAGTCACTAAAAGCAAAGGCAATTTCGACCTAATGTATTGCCTCACGACGGTCGGTGCGATATTCAATGAACTTACTCTCTTGACCACCAAGCCTTTGGACGGCTTGCACGAAAGAGAGATGCAGATCATGAGTCCACCGAAGCCTAGACAATTTCGACCTAACGTATTGCCTCTCTTCTTCTATCATTTCCCTCGTTGTTATCATTGCTTGAAGTGCTCCATTTCTGTTCTCAATCTCATTACCTTCTTCAATACTTGATATTTCATCGTAACAAAAATCCTCATTCAAGTCGTCGGAGGAACACTTATGTCCGAACAACATTGCAGACATATCTTGCCTCCTGCTGATGCAAATCTTGCCTGTCAAATCTGTTTATTTAATGTAACATTAGCGTAAAAATAAAACTTGGGAACCTTCAATTATATACATGAAATGAATCAACAAATGAAACCCCCATCACTTGTAGGGTTTTAAATATTTAAGATGGAGCTGTGATTTAGTAAATGCATCAATTAGAGTGTGAGGACATTGTTTAGGTGATAGGTTCTACTGCATCAATTATTGCACTGGTTATTTTCTTGAATTCAATATATACATACATACATACATACATACATACATATATACATACATACATACATACATACATACATACATACATACATACATGTATACATAAGTATTATGTATGATTTATTAGGTAAAAATCATCATTATTGCTAAAAATTCAGTTTCTGCAAAAGTGGTACCAACTACCAAGTAAAAGATTTACTTGTGAAGAAATGGGAAGCAGCTCTTTCATTTTTTAATCTCATTTTTAATCTCATTTTTTGTCCTCAAAATTAATAAATACATTATAGATATAGCTGCAACTGTTGCATACATCATGTGACCTTATTCTTGCTCCGAATAAATTCATTTTTTAATCTCATTTTTTGTCCTCAAAATTAATAAATAGTAATGGCCTTTTTAATTAAATTGATGGTTACAAGCTACGTCAGAATAACGGTTAACAAGCATGAATTTACGTAAAAGTTTTTTTAAAAAATTTACGAACAAAAACAATAAATTCTTTATAAGGTCTAAATTACGTGAGAATTAGGGCTACAAGAATTTTCTCAAACTTTTTATGCTTAATCAATAATCATAATCCTTACTATCATCCATTTATATAGGGCTAATAATTATTTGATAAAAGGAATTAGGGGTGTTCATTTTTCGGTTTTAACCGAATTAACCGACCGAACTGAATTAGTTCAGTTAATTCGGTCGGCCACCGAATTAGTTCGGTTAGGAAACGATTAATAAATTTTTTAGAATTCGGTTAATGGTTAATTCGATTCGAAATCGGTTAATTAACCGAAATTAAATTTTAAATATATTATATATAACATATGAGCTCAGCCCAAACCATTTAAAACCCAATTAATAATTTAAGATCCAATAATTTTTAAACCTAAATCAATATTAATTAATTAAAAAATCCATATAAAATTTGTACTTTATAATTATATATTATTTAAATTAATTTTAAATTGTTTTTTGAATTAAAAAATATTCAATTTTTATATAAATTATAAAATTAAAAAAAAAAATCGGTTAATTTGAAAATTAACGGAATTAACCGATATTTATTCGGTTCGGTTAATATTTTCAAAAGAAAGTTCGGTTCGGTTAACAGTTAAAGAAAACAAAAGTTCGATTAATTCGGTTAATGGTAATTCGGTTAATAGTAATTCAATTTTATCGGCTACCGTTTTAACCGAATAAACACCCTTAAAAGGAATCTTATATTATAAAGGGTCTTCTTTAATATAAATTTTTATTTTTAATAAAAAAAATTAAAATGAGAAGTATAGTCATATACTAGGTGAGCCGCATCGTAAACTTTTCTTGATAGAATGTAGAAGTATAATCATACAAACTAATTATTATAAAATGTAAATCGAATATAATTTAAATTAGAACAATTCTTGATAGAATATATATATATATATATATATATAATTCAAACCTAAACATGAGCTTTTGTAAGAAAAATATATGAGACCATTTTTTCTTTTTTTTGATTAAATGGGACCATTTCTTGAATAATCAATCAATTTCTTCCCACCTAAACAAAGACTTTATTTGCTCCAAGTTTTTTTTCTTATTTAATCAGAGCATCACTCTTGTCTTGTCCCCATGCTCTTGTTGTTTTTGAAGTCCACAACCTTTAATTATGGGTGCAAACATATACGTTGATGTGAGTTTGATGTTATTGGTTTTTCAAATAGGGAAAAAAAGGTCGTCCATATAAAATTTGGTCAATTTTGATGGGTCTCCTATTTTCAAACTAATTGCCCTCCATCGTTTTCATTGCATTTTATTTAATTATATAAGTACATATGTAAATAAAAAGTTGAGAAATTACACGAATTAACTTATTTCAGATTAAAGGAATTATTGTTATTCTTAGGATTCACAAATTTGAACACTAACAATTATAATAGGATGATTGAACGTTTATTGTAAAATCTCAACTATGTATACAAAACGTGTGCACATTAGCACATTACTAATAAGTAACAAAGAAATTTAGTGAAATATTAGTAAGAAAAAAGACAAATAAATTTTCATGGGAGAGGACAATAATGGTAAATATAATAATCGGATTTGTTTATTATTTATTGCTAACATCAAAAGAGTTTACTTTCCAATGATGAAAAAATATAAATTTGGACTGATTTGTCTTCCCTTGTTTATTCCACACATAAATATGCACATATTATATAATCATTTGAAAAGGGAAAATAATAACTTAAAAGTTCTAGGCAAACGACATCCACAAACAACTTGTTATGAGTGACATAATACATTCACCATTATTTTCTAAAAATATAGATAACAAATCATACATTAAAGAGAGAATTTCAAAAATAATATTTGTTTGTTGTTTCTCCTTTTGTATGAAGAGTTACCTTTCAGGGTCTTCAGCCTTACATAATCCGCCGCCTCCATCACCCTCTCCATCTCCGCCAGTATCCCCTTCACAGCCGCCGTCACCACCAGCTCCTTATTCCTCAAACACCTTGCAATTCGAACAAGCTCGACTATTTTCCAGTCAGCCATTGTCACTTGTTGCCTCTCCACTCTCTCTTCCTCCAATTTTATCTTCACCCTCAAATGCTCTATCTTCGTCGCTCCTTTGTAAACTCGGCCAAACCCGGACCGGGAATCCGAGTACTATTCCTCATTGAGTCAACAAGCACATCTTCATTGAGAACTCGGTTCCATTTTCATTGTTATTGGAATTCAAATTAATTATATTAGGAACGTTGTAAATTTGTTGATTAGTCGTGGTGCTATCTGTCAACATTGTTGAGGAACAACAAATAAGGGTGGTTTTATAGTAGTGGTCTTAATGAAAAAATTAATAAATTAAATAATGGGGGGAGTTGGTTAATTTGTAATTCACGTCTTTTAATTTAAACGTTAAACATAGTGGTTCACTTCGAAATAAAGTTTTGAAGAAAAAAATTTTTTATATATATTCTTATCTTACATGTCATATGATGATGTGGGATAGAAAGAATTGATCCTCTAATTCGTACTACTTGTATCATAATAAATTATGTTTCATAATCTAATAAATATTGAATGAAAATATTATTTTTTTCTTGAATCGTTATGTTTGTCAAATATATGAATTAATCAGAAATGTCACATGTGTGAGTGTTCATATCAAATGGTTGAAAGTTTATTCGGGACGAACTAGTCACTAGTGTTGGCTGCTAATGAGGTATGACTGTCTTCTCTGCCATCCTGACTATAGGTTGGGTCCTCTTCCATTGGTTTTCTCTGAAATTAAAAAGAAATAGATATTATTATTGTCATTCCAATCTTTATAGTACTCATGACTCTCTAAGGCATGTACATAAATAGACACTAGCTGACTCTAGCCCACAGGTCCTAGGAATGACTAAATCTGAGGCTATGATACCTCTAAATATAACACCATAATCTTGTTTGACTTGAAGATCCATGGATTATGATGTCACACGGAAACACCAAAATGTCTAACCCAAAGTTTTCTTTTAAAATAACTGTAAAATACCATATAAAATCTATCTTAAGTAAAATAAAATAAAATAAAATGTGATAATTCAAAGTTTACAAAATATGGGTAGCTCCCAAATCATCTAGAATAAATACACTGAAATTAAAATCAAAATAGAGTTACATCTGAATACAAAGAGTCTACAATACTACATGCCCTCTAAACTAAATCAATATGTACTTTGGTGCCTCGGCTTTGTGGAATATTTGGTGATGATAACGCTCATCAGACGACCTCCTAAGAACCTGGGCATGGAAACACATTTCGAACATTGAGCTTACAAGCTTAGCGCCTTACTAATAATTGTATTATACTACATGCATTCATTAAATGTGCATGCTAGATGCATAAGTATGAAGACATGGAAATGCTAATCTGATATGCTGATATAGGCATCATGGTGCGGCTGAGGGTTTTGCATCTCGCAGCTCACACACCCATCTGACATTTCTAAAATACCATTGGGTATTTGGGTGAGATCCGAAGTTGCATCGGAAACATACATCCGACTGACTTACTCCGTCGGGTCTTAGGGCATCTGCGCCCAGCTAGCGGCTAAGTGCCTTGGAACTGACTGGGATATCCACTATACGATCGTAACTGCTAGAGTAACTTGGGTGTCCTAATTGTGTCCCGAGCGTCAAACAAGGCTAGTTTTATGACATTCTAACTGTTGTTGGTTCTAATTGTTCTAAGCTTATTACTATTGGCAAACACCACTGTTGCTAGCTCAATGTCATGGGTGGGGTAATTACGCTCGTGAGGCTTAAGCTGGCGGGATGCATAAACTACAACCTTTCCTCTTTGCATCAAGACATATCCAAGACCATTCAACGAAGCGTCATTGAAAACTATGAAGTCCTTACCCGACTCTGGCTGGGTTAACACCGGGGCCTGAGTTAAGATGGTGTTTAACTATTCGAAGCTCTGCTGTAGCTTTTCATCCCATAAAAAGGGAACTCCTTTCTGAAGTAATTTGGTCAACAGGGCAACTATCATCGATAAGCCCTAAATAAATCGATGATAGTACCCGACTAAACCTAGAAAATTATGTATCTCT